GTCTTCAACTTCCAATTGTGGCCTCTTGTTTCTGTGTCCCCTCCTGGAACATCCTGTCTTTGTCCACCTTGTCTATTCCACGCCAGTATTTTATATGTCGTTATCATGTCTCTCCCTGACCCTCCTGTCCTCCAGTGTGGTCAGGCCGATTTCCCTTAATCTTTCCTCATAGGACATTCCCCTTAGCTCCGGAACTAACCTTGTCGCAAACCTTTGTACTTTCTCTAGTTTCTTGACGTGCTTTATCAGTGCGGGTTCCAAACAGGTGCTTGCATACTCCAGTATGGGCCTGAACATACACGGTGTACAGTGTCTTGAATGATTCCTTACTAAGGTATCGGAATGCTGTTCTCGGTTTGCCAGGCGCCCATATGCTGCAGCAGTTATCTGATTGATGTGTGCTTCCGGAGACATGCTCGGTGTTATACTCACCCCAAGATCTTTCTCCTTGAGTGAGGTTTGCAGTCTTTGGCCACCTAGCCTATACTCTGTCTGTGGTCTTCTGTGCCCCTCCCCCATCTTCATGACTTTGCATTTGGCGGATTAAATTCGAGAAGCCATTTGCTGGACCAAGGTGTCCAGTCTGTCCAGGTCTCTTGAAGTCCTGCCTGGTCCTCATCAGATTTAATTCTCCTCATTACTTCACATCATCTGCAAACAGGGACACTTCTGAGTCTAACCCTTCCGTCATGTCGTTCACATATACCAAAAATAGCACTGGTCCTAGGACCGACCCCTGTGGGACCCCGCTCGTCACGGTGCCCACTGTGATACATCATTACGTACCATGACTCGTTGTTGCCTCCCTGTCAGGTATTCTCTGATCCATTGCAGTGCCCTTCCTTTATATGCGCCTGATGCTCTAGCTTCTGCACTAATCTCTTGTGAGGAACTGTGTCAAAGGCCTTCTTGCAGTCCAAGAAGATGCAATCAACCCACCCTCTCTCTCTTGTCTTACTTCTGTTATTTTATCATAAAACTCCAGAGGTTTGTGACACAGGATTTGCCTTCCGTGAATCCGTGCTGGTTGGCATTTATACTCCTGTTCCGTTCCAGGTGCTCCACCACTCTCCTCCTGATAATCTTCTCCATAATTTTGCATACTATACACGTCAATGACACAGGTCTATAGTTTAGTGCCTCTTTTCTGTCTCCTTTTTAAAATGGGAACTACATTTGCCGTCTTCCATACCTCAGGTAGTTGCCCAGTTTCCAGGGATGTGTTGAAGATTGTGGTAAGTGGCAACGCACACATATCTGCTCCCTCTCTAAGGACCCACGGGGAGATGTTGTCTGGTCCCATTGCCTTTGAGGTTCGATGTCCTTAGCAGTTTCTTCACCTCCTCCTCATCTGTATGTATGTGTCCAAACTTGTGTGTGTATTCCTTGCTGGTGTCCCCGTCTGGTCTGTCCCCCAGAGTCCTTCCTGTCTCTACTGTAAATACTTCCTTAAATCTCTTGTTTAGCTCCTCACATACCTCTTGATCGTTCTTGTGGAGTTCTCAACCTTCTTTCCTCAGCCTTATCACTGAGTCCTGATGTTGTCTTCCTCCTAATGTGCTATACAGCAGTTTCGGGTCAGATTTGACTTTCGATGCTATTTCGTTTTCATACTGTCGCTGGGCCTCCCTCCTTATCTGTGCATACTCGTTTCTGGCTCTTCTACTAATCTCCTTGTTTTCCTGGGTCCTATGCCTCCTGTAACCTTTCCATTCTCTGTGCACTTAGTTTTTGCCTCCCTACAACCTTCGGGTAAACCAAGGACTCGTTTTGGTCTTCCTATTATTTCCGTTTCCTTGGGAACAAAACTTTCCTCTGCCTCCTTGCACTTTGTTGCCACATATTCCATCATCTCGTTTACTGATTTTCCTACCTTTCTCTGTCCCACTGAACCTCCTGCAGGAAGTTTCTCATACCTGTGTAGTCCCCCCCTTTTATAGTTTGGCCTGTCCCCTTCAGTTCCTGTTACCTTCTCCACTTGTAACTCTACTATATAGTCAAACTCGAACCACATGATCGCTAGCTCCAAGGGGCCTCTCATAAGTGATGTCCTCAATGTCTGAACTGCTCAGGGTGAACACAAGATCCAGTCTTGCTGCTCATCCTCCCCTCTCTCTCTGGTTGTGTCCCTGACATGTTGATGCATGAGGTTTCCAAGTACCACATCCATCATCTTGGCTCTCCATGTTTCGGGACCCCCATGTGGCTCAGGTTTTCCCAGTCGATCTCCCTGTGGTGAAATCGCCCATTACAGTAACTTTGCTCTGTTCGAGTGAGCTCTTCTTGCCACCTCAGCCAGTGTGTCACCCATCACCCTGTTGTTTTCTTCGTACTCCTCTCTTGGCCTCCTGCAGTTCTGTGGTGGGTTATACATCACTCCAATGACTACTTTATGTGTCTCCGGACTGAATTGTACCTACAATGTAGTCTCTTTCTCCAATCATGTCCATGCCTTCCATTTCTCAAATCCCCATCGGTGTTTTATGAGCAGTGCAACCCCTCCTCCCCCTCTACTCCTTCTATCTTTCCTCAGGATCTGATATCCTGTTGGGAAGATTGTGTCTGTTATTGTCTCAGCGAGTTTTGTTTCTGTGATGCTATGATGTCTGGGATTTTTCATGATTTTCATTCACTCCTCATGTTTATTCATTATTCCATCCGCGTTGTGTACAAACCTTTAGTTCTTTTCTATCATTGTGGTCATGCAAGAATATTGGGGTTGGGGGAGCGAGAGCCTTGGTGGGGGCCTATATGGGGCTGTGGTTGTGGTGGGTTTGTGTTGATGGGGGTGGTGGTCAGAATGCCCATAAGGGACAGCTGTTGGGGTGAGGTTGTGATATGGGGATTGGTGGCAGAGGGAACAGTGAGTGGGTTGTAGTATAGGTTGCTGTTGCGTTGGGAATGTCGCGGTGGAGTCTTTTGGTGGGAGATTCTGTGGGGTGTGTTTGCCCTTCCTCCTGTGTCTGGGTCCTGCTCATTTTCATTGCTTCTCGTTCCTCCTTGCGTCTCTGTACCCTCTCTTTCAGTGTAGTCTTTCTTCTTGTGTTCTGTCGCGGTCGAGGTATACTCTCGGTACCCTCTTTGTCCCTCAGTCTTGCTTTCTCTTGCAGAAATCCTGGTTCGAACTGATTCTTCCTTGAAAGTTACTCTGACAGGCCGTATCTTCCACTCGCAACCACCCCAGTTCTCTTGAAAATTTGTCACCTGGGTCATATTGCCCTCCCCTATTGTTTTCATGATGCCTTCAATCATTTTTTTCTCCCCCTGTTTTTTTCTTCAAAGTTGGCCCCCTTGGCTTCTTGGAGCCCGTACACAAAACTGACCCGCCCTTTCCTCCTCCACTGAGTCTCCATCTGCGTCCTCTGAGGCATTTTTTATTTCCCTTTCCATTGACATGTTCTTGCCTTCAGTCCCTGTCATATCTGAAACTTCCATTCTCAGTGGGGCTGTCTTTCCGCCAGCTGTCCCTTGCTACTGCAGTTGGCTGTTAGAATCTCTGCATATAGCATACCTTCATTGTCTTCGGACCTGTCGTTTGATCTTAGTGTGCTCGTCGTCTTTTCCCTGGCCCACGTGGGTCTGATAGGGCCTTCATGTTCGGCATGTCTCCGTTGTTGCTTACCATCCCCTTGTTGCGCTGACTTTGAATTTCCTGATGTCACACCTGAATTGTCATTTGTCTCTCTAAACTGTTTCAGGCTTTGCAGTTTCTCTTCTAAGCACTGTATCCTAGCTTCTGCTGCTAAGACCTGTACTTCCCACTTCCTGCACTCTTAGCTATCCGCTCCTCCATTTTTTTTACCAAGCTTTTACTATCTTCTTCCCCACTCTTCCCCCCTTTTGTGTGTGTGGTGTGTATGTGTGTGTATGTTGTGTGTTTTGTGGGGTGTGTGTGGTGTGTGTGTGTGTGTGTGTATGTGTGGTGTGTGTGTGTATGTGTGTGTGTATGTGTGTGTGTGTGTGTGTGTGTGTGTTGTGTGTGTGTGTGTATGTGTGTGTGTATGTGGTGTGTGTGTGTGTGTGTGTATTTGTGTGTATGTGTGTGTGTGTGTGTGTGTTTTGTATGTGTGTGTGTGTGTGGTCTGTGTGTGTGTGTGTATGTGTGGTGTGTGTGTGTGGTGTCTGTGTGTGTATATGTGTGTATGTGTGTTGGTTGGGGTGTGTGTGTGTGTGTGTGTGTCTGTGTGTGTGTATTTGTGTGTAAAGTGCGTGTGTGTGTGTGTGTGTGTGTGTCTGTGTGTGTATATGTGTGTGATGTGGGCTGTGTGTGTGTGTGTGTGTGTGTGTATGTTTTGTGTGTGTGTGTGTGTGTATCTGTGTGTGTGTGTGTGTGGTATGTGTGTGTGTATTTTGGGGTGTGTGTGTGTGTGTGTGTGTGGGGGTTTTGTTGTGTGTGTGTCTGTGTGTGTATTTGTGTGTATGTGTGTGTGTGTGTGTGTGTGTGTGTGTGTGTGTGTGTGTGTGTGTGTGTGTGGGGTGGTGTGTGTGTGTGTTGTGTTCGCACTGATCACCATAACTCAAGTGGTAATTACAGTGGTGATACTGAACTGAAAATTCAGAGAAATTATTGTCATTAATAAGACAGTGCAGAAGTTACTAACAGCATTAAGCAGATTACAATAGTAACAATAAATACAATAATAAAAATAATAGCAAAACAATAAAATTCATAATAAATAAAATTTATAATGATAATTGGATCATAATTTATTTTATTTACTTATTATTATTATTATTATTATTATTATTATTATTATTAATGGTTGACACTCCACTACCACCCACCGTGCCAAGCAGTGTCGGGTGGCACTCAGAGTAGTGCCAATCACTGAGGACCAAGACACAACTGACTCGAACAAGCACTCCACTCACAGAAGTTTCCTTTGTTCCATCCCAGTCACTGCGCGAAACGTCGTCTCAAACCAAAACGTGTTTACTGCTTCGCCAAACTTCATTTCTGACACTTCTCTTCCTCCCTCTTCTCTCCTCCCCCCCGGCAGTGTCGGGGGAGTTTGTGGGCGTGGCAACGGGTGAAGGGGGCGTGGTCGGGTGGGAGAACGGTACCCTGGCGGTGACGCGGGCGGAGCATCGCCACGAAGGGCGGTACCTGTGTGAGGCGAACAACGGTGTGGGCGCCGGACTCTCCAAGGTCGTCACCCTCAGCGTTAATGGTGAGTATCGAGGGAAAACGTCCTGTTAATGGGATGCCAGGGGACGAGTTTACTAATAAGGGGAAGGGGAAGTGGGAGTGGGGGCAGGGGAGGGGGGTTAGGGAAGGGGTGATGTAGGTTCCAAGATGCGGGGGGGGGGAAGGAGGGCACATCAACAGGTATGTTGCATAATTGTTGAGTAAATCAATAGATCTGTTGATTGATAATGAATTTAATAAACGGTTATGCTTATTGTCTGGAGTAAATCAACAGCTCTGTTGCATGAATCACGTAAATCAACAGCTCTGTTGCATGAATCTGGGTAATCAGTACAGTTGCCCTGTTGTAAATTAATTATACTGTTGCTTGACTTTAAACTAAATCAACAGTACCGTTGATAGATTCTCCAGTAAGTCAACAGTACTGTTGAGAGAGACTTCGGTCCCTCTGTTAATAGCTGGAACATTGAATTTGATTTTATATAAAAATTTCTCTGTGCGTCATCACCATTACTTTGTCACCCACATAACACCGTCACCCACATAATACTGTCACCCACATACCACCGTCACCCACATAATACTGTCACCCACATAACACCGTCACCCACATAATACTGTCACCCACATAACACCGTCACCCACATAATACTGTCACCCACATAATACTGTCAGCAACATAACTTTGTCACCAACATAACACTGTCACCCACATAACTTTACCACCATTATAACACTGTCACCCACATAACTTTGTCACCATCATAATACTGTCACCCATATAACTTTGTCACCATCATAATACTGTCACCCACATAGCTTTGTCACCATCATAACACTGTCACCCACATAACTTTGTCACCATCATAATACTGTCACCCACATAGCTTTGTCACCATATAACACTGTCACCCACATACTTTGTCACCATCTTAATACTGTAAACCACATAGCTTTGTCACCATCATAACACTGTCACCCACATAACTTTGTCACCATCATAATACTGTCACCCACATAACTTTACCACCATTATAACACGGTCACCCACATAACTTTGCCCACCACCCATAACACTGTCACCCACATAACTTTGTCACCATCTTTACACTGTCACCCACATAACTTTGTCACCATATAACACTGTCACCCCAATAACTTTGTCACCATCATAACACGTCACCCACATAACTTTGTCACCAACATAACACTGTCCCCACAAAAACTTTTCACCATCATAACACTACACCCACATAACTTTGTCACCATCATAACACTGTCACCCACATAAACTTTGTCATCATATAACACTGTCACCCCCCAATAACTTTGTCATAAAAACATAACACTGTCACCCACATAACTTTGTCACCATCATAACACTGTCACCCACATAACTTTGTCACCATCATAACACTGTCACCCACATAACTTTGTCATCAACATAACACTGTCACCCACATGACATTGTCACATCATAACACTGTCACCCACATAACTTTGTCACCATCATAACACTGTCACCCACATAACTTTGTCACCATCATAACACTGTCACCCACATAACTTTGTCATCATCATAACACTGTCACCCACATAACTTTGTCACCATCGTAACCCCTGTCACCCACATAACTTTGTCACCAACATAACACTGTCACCCACATAACTTTGTCACCATCATAACACTGTCACCCACATAGCTTTGTCACCATCATAACACTGTCACCCACATAACTTTGTCACCAACATAACACTGTCACCCACATAACTTTGTCACCATCATAATACTGTCACCCACATAACTTTGTCATCATCATAACACTGTCACCCACATAACTTTGTCACCATCATAATACTGTCACCCACATAACTTTGTCACCATCATAACACTGTCACCCACATAACTTTGTCACCATCATAATACTGTCACCCACATAACTTTGTCATCATCATAACACTGTCACCCACGTAACTTTGTCACCAACATAACTTAAAATTTAGTGTTAATACATTTTCTTATTTATTTGCATGTTTAATGTTTACTGACGATTTCATGTGTTTTACTTAATGTTTAGCCTATGTTAAGGACTATTTTAATGTTTATTTTGGCCATTTTGATGATTTCGACGTATTTCAAGGACAATTAAAATACCTTATTATTGGCATTTGACGATTTTGATTAATTTGCAGGATTAACTCTGTTGTATTAATAAATTATTTGATGATCTCCATGATGATGTATCGTCTATGTTGAGGCATGTCAGTCTATATTCTGGTGTTTGAATGTTTGTTTTGCTTACCTCCAGAGCCGCCTTGGTTTAGTGTACGGAGTCAGCGTCAACAGGTGGTGGTGGGAGGCACTGCCAGTCTGAGTTGTGAAGCTCATGGTGACACTCCCTTGGCACTCACCTGGACACGTGGCTCTGTCCCTCTACCTCCGCTACCAAGGTAACCTCACAATGTGTGTGTGTGTGTGTGTGTGTGTGTGTGTGTGTGTGTGTGTGTGTGTGTGTGTGTGTGTTGTTGTTAAAACTCTTATATGTGATACAAATGGGAAAAGGATCAAGATCGAGCACTGATTGGTGCTCGATCTCACTTCCCAGAAGCAATAAACAAATACTACAACATACAAATCGAACGTAAATACAAGAGACAAATATTACATGAATAAAAAAAAATTCAGGAAAATTCTGAGAAGTAAAGACAGATAAGCGAGTACTGAATGTAAGTGTATGGTTGTAAGAGTTTAAGCGGCGCGGACAGGCTGGGAGGCTGGCAGGGAGGAGGACAGGTAACCAAACTCAATTTACCTGTTTCGTGTTGGAAACAGTGAACAACAGGTAACATGGTTTTAATTAACTCCCCACACCTCCCCAGTTTACCAGCCCCTCGAGGCCTACTCCCTCTCCCCACACATTTCACTGCCTCCTCTCACACACACACTCGCCCCATCACTTCCTTTCCCAAACACACACACACGCGCACACATACACACACACAACACACACACACACACACACACACACACACACACACACACACACACACACACACACCACACACACACACACACACAACACCGCCGCCACCTTATCTACACACTTCCCACCACCATCTTTACCCCCTCACACACCCCATTCCCTCCCTTTTCCATATACTCCCCACCATCTAATTATCTACACTTTCCTCACCACCACCTTATTTACCAACACATACACACAAAACCATCTTTTCCACACACACACCCTTCCAATACTTTTCTCTCCACACATACACACCCCCACCTCCATCTTTCCCCCACACACCCCTCCACCACCTCCCGCTTACAGACATGTCTTGAATGACGGGGAGAGACGTTGAGATTTTCAACCCAGGTAAGCCACATGCTTGACGAGCAGGTGCTGTGCTGGCTTTGCGACAAGGCCTTCTACAAGTCTTGACTCGAGCTGTGTCATCCCTTGCTTCAGACTTTCTTGGCAAATTAAAACCATTACGTCTGATCCATTGCTTTTCAACACAGAGAACTAATCTTACCCGAAGTGTCCTGAAATTTCCTTTATTACCTGTAAGAAAAAAGACTATTATTATTATTATTATTATTATTATTATTATTATTATTATTATTATTATTGTTATTATTAGTAGCAGTATTCCACCCATGACACATAAGGGACGTGTTCTGAGATGTCACACTGCTAGCGTAAGTACCACACAGATTCCAAACACAAATACAGGTGCCAGGTACTAGGCTTCAGGTAACGCAGCATCCCCTCCACAGGTACGAGGTGTCTGAGCGTCAGGTGGAAACTGGCCAAGTATCCGAGCTGGTGGTACGTTCGTCACACCTCAGTGACTCTGGTACCTATGTATGCACCGCTAGTAACACGCACGGTTCCCTCACCGCCGACTTCCACCTCTTGGTGCAAGGTACGTACCCCCCTCTACACACACACACACAGGCAACGTACTGTACACACAAAACCTCCTAATTTCTTCAAAGTACGATTATCCATTACACAGAATTATTGCCAATGTACATGTGGTGTCCTTGTAGAAGAAGGCTTTATACAGAGTAAGCTATATTGGTTTTCTTTACCGGTACAATTGCTCCAATATAAGCTACAGTGGTGTAATATACCGACAATGTTGCTTATAAGACACAATGCGTTTTTATTACCGAGCACATTTCAGCCATCAAGGACTTCATCCATCCATACGGAGTATAACAGGACACGGGTGTATCTAGGGGCTGGAAGGAGGTCCTCGGGTGAATGTTATTGCTGGTGATGAAGCTAATAAAAAAAAGCAAGATTCGTTGATGTTATTTTTAACTTATTATAACTTACAGTATATTATTTATCCCAGGGTAACCTAATAAAATATCTAGCTTTTATTTTTGTTACAGTGGGGTTTGGGTACCTACTCCCGTGGTATATTTAACGTATATAGAATATATATATTCAGGTATGTTCTATATTGATTTAGGTATTAGGTAAGTTTATTGACGTTGGATTTACGTGACAGCTTAACTACTGCCTGCGATTGTTGGATAGTTGTGGTGTAGAAACTGCCGCCAACAGGTAGCCTGCATTTTGAGCGGCTCTATCACCAGCGTGCCCAGGGTTCGGGGCAGACAAGTTTAACTGTCTTGTTAATTCTGCGCGCATGTGATTTCCTTGTCTCTTGTTACAGCTCTTGAGTTCCCTGAACCTGCCACTGCTATGTTTCACCTCGCCTCTCCTCTAGAATAACGCTGAATTATGTACAAGGGCTTGCATATGTTCTAGCAAATTTTACAATTTTAACTGTATTTATTACTTTGGAATGACTAGACAACTGGTGAGGTGATCCCAGTCACAGCTGGCCTCTGCTCCCTAAGTACTAGTCCTCACCACACTCACTTCCTAGGTAGAGAGGGGGAGATGAGGTGGCATTGTTACATAGTATGTGAGTAACTAATTCAGTAGATGAGGTGATATATGCTTCGCCAAGACAGTCTCTTCTATCCAGTGATGGATTTTTTTAACAGTAGAAAGATGTAAGTAGAGGTTAGCTGTGCCTGGTACCGGGGGCCAATGTACCTTGTGAATATAAGACAGTGTTCAGGTTATTGCAGTATATTTACAAAGAAGTATCGTCCTCGAGGAAAAGTCAATTCACACGGAGCATAACACGACATGAGGTATATACAGGAGTTAGAAAGATGTCCTAAAGTGAAAGAATGTTGTTGCAAGTGAGCAGCCATCCGAGAAGGTGAGGTAAGGTGGTCGTAGTATCAGGTACAGGGAGAACTCTTCGACTATTGAATATTTTTGAGAAATCGTACTGGTTGGGACCATTACTGTTTATTCTAACCATAATTTGTCTTGAAATGTCGCTTTCTTTGATGGTAAATCTTGCTTCTGGGAAATTCATAAGATGGTTTTCTGTGTAAAGTCTATGCGTTACTAACGTCGCCCTTCCGGCATGCGTATATTGTTACTAACGTCGCCCTTCCGGCATGCGTATACTGTTACTAACGTCGTCCTTCCGGCATGTGTATACTGTTACTAACGTCGCCCTTCCGGCATGCGTATACTGTTACTAACGTCGTCCTTCCGGCATGCGTATACTGTTATTAACGTCGTCCTTCCGGCATGCGTATACTGTTACTAACGTCGCCCTTCCGGCATGCGTATACTGTTACTAACGTCGCCCTTCCGGCATGCGTATACTGTTACTAACGTCGCCCTTCGGGCATGCGTATACTGTTACTAACGTCGCCCTTCCGGCATGCGTATACTGTTACTAACGTCGCCCTTCCGGCATGCGTATACTGTTAATAACGTCGCCCTTCCGGTATGCGTATACTGTTACTAACGTCGTCCTTCCGGCATGCGTATACTGTTACTAACGTCGTCCTTCCGGCATGCGAATACTGTTACTAACGTCGCCCTTCCGGTATGCGTATACTGTTACTAACGTCGCCCTTCCGGCATGCGTATACTGTTACTAACGTCGTCCTTCCGGCATGCGTATACTGTTACTAACTTCGCCCTTCCGGCATGCATATACTGTTACTAACGTCGCCCTTCCGGCATGCGTATACTGCTACTAACGTTGCCCTTCCGGCATGCGTATACTGTTACTAACGTCGCCCTTCAGGCATGCGTATACTGTTACTAACGTCGCCCTTCCGGCATGCGTATACTGTTACTAACGTCGCCCTTCCGGCATGCGTATACTGTTACTAACGTCGCTCTTCCGGCATGCGTATACTGTTACTAACGTCGCCCTTCAGGCATGCATATACTGTTACTAACGTCGTCCTTCCGGCATGCGTTTACTGTTACTAACGTCGCCCTTCCGGCATGCGTTTACTGTTACTAACGTCGTCCTTCCGGCATGCGTTTACTGTTACTAACGTCGCCCTTCCGGCATGCGTATACTGTTACTAACGTCGTCCTTCCGGCATGCGTATACTGTTACTAACGTCGTCCTTCCGGCATGCGTATACTGTTACTAACGTCGTCCTTCCGGCATGCGTATACTCTTACTAACGTCGCCCTTCCGGCATGCGTATACTGTTACTAACGTCGCTCTTCCGGCATGCGTATACTGTTACTAACGTCGTCCTTCCGGCATGCGTATACTGTTACTAACGTAGTCCTTCCGGCATGCGTATACTGTTACTAACATCGTCCTTCGGCATTGCGTATACTGTTACTAAACATCGTCCTTCCGGCATGCGTATACTGTTACTAACGTCGCCCTTCCGGCATGCTTTATACTGTTACTAACGTCGCCCTTTCCGGCATGCGTTATACTGTTATTAACGTCGCCCTTCGGCATGCGTATACTGTTACTAACGTCGCCCTTCCGGCATGCATATACTGTTACTAACGTCGTCCTTCCGGCATGCGTATACTGCTACTAACGTTGCCCTTCCGGCATGCGTATACTGTTACTAACGTCGCCCTTCCGGCATGTGTATACTGTACTAACTTTCGCCCTTCCGGCATGCGTTATTACTATTTTTTACTAACGTCGCCCTTCCGGCATGCGTATACTGTTACTAACGTCGCCCTTCCGGCATGCGTATACTGTTACTAACGTCGCCCTTCCGGCATGCGAATACTGTTACTAACGTCGCCCTTCCGGCATGCGTATACTGTTACTAGCGTCGCCCTTCCGGCATGCTTTATACTGTTACTAACGTCGCCCTTCCGGCATGCGTTATACTGTTACTAACGTCGCCCTTCCGGCATGCGTATAATGTTACTAACGTCGCTCTTCCGGCATGCGTATACTGTTACTAACGTCGCCCTTCCGGATGCGTATACTGTTACTAACTTCGCTCTTCCGGCATGCGTATCTGTTACTAACGTCGCTCTTCCGGCTGCGTATACTGTTACTAACGTCGTCCTTCCGGCATGCGTATACTGTACTAACGTTGCCCTTCCGGCATGCGTTATACGTTACTAACGTCGCCTTCCGACATGCATATACTGTTACTAACGTCGTCCTTCCGGCATGCGATACTGCTACTAACGTTGCCCTTCCGGCATGCTTTATACTGTTACTAACGTCGCCTTCCGACATGCGTATTGTTACTAACGTGGGCCTTCCGGCATGCGTATACTGTTACTAACGTGCCTCAGGCATGCGTATACTGTCTAACGTCGCCCTTCCGGCATGCGTATACTGTTACTAACGTCGCCTTCCGGCATGCGTATACTGTTACTAACGTGTCCTTCCGGCATGCGTATACTGTTACTAACGTGCCCTCGGCATGCGTATACTGTTACTAACGTCGCCTTCAGGCATGCGATACTGTTACTAACGTCGCCCTTCCGGCATGCGTTACTGTTACTAACGTCGTCCTTCCGGCTTTGCGTATACTGTTACTAACGTTCCGTCCTTCCGGCATGCGTATACTGTACTAACATCGTCCATCCGGCATGCGTATATTGTTACTAACGTCGCCCTTCCGGCATGCGTATACTGTTACTAACGTCGTCCTTCCGGCATGCGTATACTGTTACTAACGTCGCCCTTCCGGCATGCGTATATTGTTACTAACGTCGCCCTTCCGGCATGCATATATGTTACTAACGTCGCCCTTCCGGCATGCGTATACTGTTACTAACGTCGCCCTTCCGGCATGCGTATACTGTTACTAACGTCGTCCTTCCGGCATGCGTATACTGTTACTAACGTCGCCCTTCCGGCATGCGTATACTGTTACTAACGTCGCCCTTCAGGCATGCGTATACTGTTACTAACGTCGCCCTTCCGGCATGCGTATATTGTTACTAACGTCGCCCTTCCGGCATGCGTATACTGTTACTAACGTCGCCCTTCTGGCATGCCTATGCTGTTACTAACGTCGCCCTTCCGACATTCGTGTACTGTTACTAACGTCGCCCTTCCGGCATGCGTATACTGTTACTAACGTCGCCCTTCCGGCATGCGTATACTGTTACTAACGTCGCCCTTCCGGCATGCGTATACTGTTACTAACTTTCGCCCTTCCGGCATGCGTATACTGTTACTAACGTCGCCCTTCCGGCATGCGTATACTGTTACTAACGTCGCCCTTCCGGCATGCGTATACTGTTACTAACGTCGTCCTTCTGGCATGCCTATGCTGTTACTAACGTCGCCCTTCCGACATTCGTGTACTGTTACTAACGTCGCCCTTCCGACATTCGTGTACTGTTACTAACGTCGCCCTTCCGGCATGCATATACTGTTACTAACGTCGTCCTTCCGGCATGCGTATACTGTTACTAACGTCGCCCTTCCGGCATGCATATACTGTTACTAACGTCGCCCTTCCGGCATGCGTATACTGTTACTAACGTCGCCCTTCCGGCATGCATATTACTGTTCTTATAACGTTCGCCCTTCCGGCATGCGTATACTGTTACTAACGTCGTCCTTCCGGCATGCGTATACTGTTACTAACGACGCTCTTCCGGCATGCGTATTCTGTTACTAACGTCGCCCTTCCGGCATGCGTATACTGTTACTAACGACGCTCTTCCGGCATGCGTATTCTGTTACTAACGTCCCCCTTTCCGGCATGCGTATACTGTTACTAACGTCCCTTCCGGCATGCGTATCTGTTACTAACGACGCTCTTCCGGCATGCATATACTGTTACTAACGTCGCCCTTCCGGCATGCGTATACTGTTACTAACGTCGCTCTTCCGGCATGCGTATACTGTTACTAACGTCGCCCTTCCGGCATGCGTATACTGTTACTAACGTCGCCCTTCCGGCATGCGTATACTGTTACTAACGTCGCTTTTCCCGGCATGCGTATACTGTTACTAACGTCGCCTTCGGCATGCGTTTACTGTTACTAACGTCGCCCTTCCGGCATGCGTATACTGTTACTAACGACGCTCTTCCGGCATGCGTATTCTGTTACTAACGTCGCCCTTCCGGCATGCGTATACTGTTACTAACGACGCTCTTCCGGCATGCGTATTCTGTTACTAACGACGCTCTTCCGGCATGCATATACTGTTACTAACGTCGCCCTTCCGGCATGCGTATACTGTTACTAACGTCGCTCTTCCGGCATGCGTTACTGTTACTAACGTCGTCCTTCCGGCATGCGTATACTGTTACTAACGTCGCCCTTCCGGCATGCGTATACTGTTACTAACGTCGCTCTTCCGGCATGCGTATACTGTTACTAACGTCGTCCTTCCGGCATGCGTATACTGCTACTAACGTTGCCCTTCCGGCATGCGTATACTGTTACTAACGTCGCCCTTCCGACATGCGTATACTGTTACTAACGTCGCCCTTCCGCATGCGTATACTGTTACTAACTTTCGCCCTTCCGACATGCTTTATACTGTTACTAACGTCGTCCTTCCGGCATGCGTATACTGCTACTAACGTTGCCCTTCCGGCATGCGTATACTGTTACTAACGTCGCCCTTCCGGCATGTGTATACTGATACTAACGTCGTCCTTCCGGCATGCGTATACTGTTACTAACGTTGCCCTTCCGGCATGCGTATACTGTTTCTAACGTCGCCCTTCCGGCATGCGTTATACTGTACTAACGTCGTCCTTCCGGCATGCGTATACTGTTACTAACGTTGCCCTTCCGGCATGCGTATACTGTTACTAACGTCGCCCTTCCCGGGCCCATGTCGTATACTGTTACTAACGTCGTCCTTCCGGCATGCGTATACTGCTACTAACGTTGCCCTTCCGGCATGCGTATACTGTTTCTAACGTCGCCCTTCCGGCATGCGTATACTGTTACTAACGTCGTCCTTCCGGCATGCGTATACTGTTACTAACGTTGCCCTTCCGGCATGCGTATACTGTTACTAACGTCGCCCTTCGGGCCCATGCGTATACTGTTACTAAACGTCGTCCTTCCGGCATGCGTATCTGTTACTAACGTCGCCCTTCCGGCATCGTATACTGTTACTAACGTCGCCTTCCGGCATGCGTATTTTAACTGTTAATCTAACTTTCTGTCCTTCCGGCATGCGTATACTGTTACTAACGTCGTCCTTCCGGCATGCGTATCTTTACTGTTACAAACGTCGTCCTTCCGGCATGTGTATACTGTTACTAACGTCGCCCTTCCGGCATGCGTATTCTGTTACTAACGTCGTCCTTCCGGCATGCGTATACTGTTACAAACGTCGTCCTTCCGGCATGCGTATACTGTTACTAACGTCGCCCTTCCGGCATGCGTATACTGTTACTAACGTCGCCCTTCCGGCATGCGTATACTGTTACTAACGTCGTCCTTCCGGCATGCATATACTGTTACTAACGTCGCCCTTCCGGCATGCGTATACTGTTACTAACGTCGCCCTTCCGGCATGCGTATACTGTTACTAACGTCACCCTTCCGGCATGCGTATACTGTTTCTAACATCGCTCTTCCGGCATGCGTATACTGTTACTAACGTCGCTCTTCTTGCATGCCTATGCTGTTACTAACGTCGCCCTTCCGACATGCGTATACTGTTACTAACATCGCTCTTCCGGCATGCGTATACTGTTACTAACGTCGCCCTTCCGGCATGCGTATACTGTTACTAACGTCGCCCTTCCGGCATGCGTATACTGTTATTAACGTCGCCCTTCCGGCATGCGTATACTGTTACTAACGTCGCCCTTCCGGCATGCGTATACTGTTATTAACGTCGCCCTTCCGGCATGCGTATACTGTTACTAACGTCGCCCTTCCGGCATGCGAATACTGTTACTAACGTCGCCCTTCCGGCATGCGTATTCTGTTACTAACGTCGCCCTTCCGGCATGCGTATACTGTTACTAACGTCGCCCTTCCGGCATGCGTATGCTGTTAGTAACGTCGCTCTTCCGGCATGCGTATTCTGTTACTAACGTCGCCCTTCCGGCATGCGTATACTGTTACTAACGTCGCTCTTCCGGCATGCGTATACTGTTACTAACGTCGTTCTTCCGGCATGCGTATACTGTTACTAACTTCGCTCATCCGGCATGCGTATACTGTTACTAACGTCGCTCTTCCGGCATGCGTATACTGTTACTAACGTCGTCCTTCCGGCATGCGTATACTGTTACTAACGCCGCCCTTCCGGCATGCGTATACTGTATATGTTCTTTAACTCTAATATGTACAGTAGGTCGCTCATGTTTCTCCACACAAACGTTACACAATATTGTGTAAACGCCGCCAGTAGTACTTCTTTCTTCTTGACTAAGTCTTTTTTGGTTTTTGATGAAATGTTAGTTACCCTAATAACGGCTTTTAGTAAGATACTGGAAAGGTTGTTACTGGTTTAGGTTGTTAGGAAGTACAGTGTATCTACTGTCTGTAGTGTCAGAACCAAAGTATCTTCACAGCTTCCTTCCTGCAGTTGATGATTAAATATTGTGGGTGTAGTGAAGGTCACTGATGACTTGGTCGATATAATCACGTTCTTCCTTGATGATGATGCTATCATGAATAGTTCAACAGTCTTGATAAGGTAAGGTAGACTTTGAAATCAAGTTTATCACCATCTTTTCGAATCAACAAGTCCAGGAAAGAAAAGTTCCGTACAATCTACTTTACCTTCCATAACTGATCTCAAGCCCCAGTTTTACATGTTTCCTCTACGGATACTTATAACCCTACCTTGAACGATGTAAACCAGTTTATTAATGTTTTATCACCAGTATTTCCACATGCAACTCTTACTTTAGTGTTAAAGTACAACTTTCTTATTTACCTTCATCTATTTTCTTGCAAGGGGAAAAAATCCTCGCTCTCATATTCATATTTTGAATTATTTTGAATTTTGTTCTGAATTTTCTTTAATTACTTAAAATAATTTTGTTTATGAATCCTATTAATCCAGAATTATCATTAATGAGGTCCTTCATCCCTGCAGATACAGGGTATACATAGTGATGGGTATACAGCATATCTCATATCACTAAGAGGTTTACGTTTAATCGCTGTTTTGGGGATTCAAGCATTTTCGGCTGGTGGTGTACAGCCTGTTTGTAACCTTGTTGATCCTTGTGTGACTGATAGACTTTAAAAAGAATTAACCAACCGATCAATCCTACAGACGTGCCAGCTCCTCCGTCAGGAGTGTCTGTGACGGAGGAGGGGTCGAGGCACCTCACAATCTCCTGGACACCACCTGCAGACTCCAACGCCCCCATCACCACCTACCTCGTCACCTACGACGCCCAGCAGTCCCCTGGTAGGCGCCTCCTACGAGACAGTTATATAAACAAATGCCAGAGTTATGGACAACATAACATTAACTTGCACCTCTCTTATTTTGTTTCTTTTATTATTTATTAAGCGCATATTAGCTTGTGTCTGTGCAATTATTTATATCTATTCAACTATCAAGTTTTTATCGATTGATGTGATTTAGTTCTTATACCCTTTTCCTCTTAATATCTACATAGTATTTATCTAAATGTCAACTTATATTCAGCTTTATATGCTGTTTTCTGTATATTTAGTAATGTTGCTGAAGCGATCTGTAAGAGCTGTCTCCCTGCAGGAGTGAGTGAACCTCGGGAGGTGACCGTGGAGGGTGACCAGCGGAGAGTGAGGCTGGAGGGCTTGTTGCCAGCCACCACCTACACCTTGACGTTAGTGGCTGAGAACCGAGTAGGGAGGAGCCTACCTTCAGCCCCCCTACGGGTTACCACTCAGGAGGAACCCCCCACGGGATACCCGCAGAATGCTAACGTTAGTATACATCCCTTCCTCCTGGCTCTTAATATATCCCTTACCGGGTTACCTGTCAGGACGCTGTGAGTGTCATGTGACTGAATCACCAGATAAGTGTGATTTTCTTGTGTTGTTCAAGGAATAATGTGCCAAGCAGTGCCAGTATAGCCCTAACGAGGTATTCAAGGGTGTGGGTCATGGAATAGAATTACGATAAGCCTTACATTCTCTGCAATGCTTGTTACTTTTTATGCGCCTCGATATCAACGATAAATTCTAATTATATTTTAATATTTGTCCTCGCCGGGTACCCGGTATGACATGACAATTTCTAGGCTTCTACCTCTCTAGAATTAAGGGTGAGTTGGACAAGTGTTTAACTGAGAATGGTTGGTTGTGTGTTAGACCTACTGACGCCCCTACTGGCCAATAGACCTACTTGGCCAGAAGACATTTTATTCTTATAGTTAGCTTATTGATTGTTAGGCCTACTTTTAGTCACAGTTTACATGTGTTCTCGTGACTCACCTAGTACTTGCTAGTATATCCACTGAAGTGTTCGTAATTGATATATTTCTCCGATTCACCTAGGCCAGTGTAGTGAAGCAGAGCGTCTCTCATGACTAAGCAGACGGAGGATCGAGCTTCCATCATACCTTCTGCCTAATAACCCACAAGTTAAGGCTCATATACAGTACATAACGAATAACTTGGGCAACTTTAAGAGCAGAAATGGTTTGATAAATTTCTTATGAACCTGATACCCATCATGTGGGTGATAGTCACCCGATACCCATCATGTGGGTGATAGTCACCCGATACCCATCATGTGGGTAATAGTCACCCGATACCCATCATGTGGGTGATAGTCACCCGATACCCATCATGTGGGCGATGGTCAGAAGATTACAGATGCACATCAAGGGTCAGAGCTGCCCTAAAACTTTTTTTTATTAGCTAAGTTACAGTAGTGACGAACTATTTACAAATTTAATCAGACAAAATAAAAACAAATCAATAAAAAAGACTAGTGCAAGTAAATAATAAAATTCATTATAACAGGAATCTAGGAAAATCAGGCGCCAGTACCTCAGTAAAGGCAGCTGTTGGACAATCACTGTGTACGTAGCCAACGACTATGGCAGGTGTCAGGGAGGCCATGTCATTAAATGATGCTGCCCAGCTGATGCTGAGGCGTAAAGAGATAGGAATAGGGAGAACAACTTTATTGAACACGTTTCTGTCCTGTGACCTCGGTCACACTCTCTCGTAGAGATAAAGGCTGGATTAATTCCCTTGTAACTCTCCAATCTATGGATCTTGCACGTCGCTGTTAGGGGACGTTTTCTAGACAGGTATAATATGCACTGTAGGTTAACATAAGTACGTTTGTCGGGAAAAACTTCAAGTGATTGCTGCTCCATCCCGACAAAGAGCTAACTGTATGTCCGCAAGCCTGGACGAACAGTCAGGCCTGTGGCCTAGGACTAAAGGAAAATATAATAATAGGTTATAAACTGCTGAAGGCCAAGTCAAATGGGCGTTAACTAAGCAGAAAATTACGCCATACTAAAGTGATATAAATACTGAGACCTTTCTTAATCAAGTTTATAAAATACAATAATAAGATGGCCGCATGGGTTGGAGGGACGAGCACAGAAGAATGTTGTCCTTCTCCTGACTGTACTGTTAAAATATGAAAGAAAAGGAAGAGATATTCATGAATAAAATGTTGTCACATTGAACTTGCCTAGCTCCTGCCCCAAGATGGCGCTGGCACGAGAGGCATCCACAAAGAGAAAACTGGTAAATTCACCAGTCGTACCAGAAGCAAATAAGGTTAAAGACTTTGTCGGATGCTTGTAACCTTAGAGTGCGAACTTCCAGAGGTACCTGCAGCGTAGCAGAAGCCGGGCTGTAGTGAGATCTAAGAGTTTTCTGAATCTGATGTATGCGCCAGGAATGGCTGGGTATTACCTGTGAATATACTGATGCGTGACCTTATGCACATAACAGCATGTACCATTAGGTTTACTGCAGTGCTCCTTTTTTCTTTCTTGGGTTTACATGATTCACCTAGGTCTCGCCTGCAGGTAATGGCAGTGTCGTCAACAGCACTTCAGGTGACATGGGACCCACCACCTATCAATCTCACCCACGGAACCGTCTTAGGTTACTACTTGGGTTTCAAGGACGACAGGTGAGCCTCCATGATTCGGTAATTATACCTAAGTGAGCCTCTATCAGTTTCCTTGATTCGCAGTTATGCCCAAGAGAGCCTCCTCCAGCTTTCTTAATAAATTCGGTAATTAGACACGGGTGACTTAACTTGTCTTGGTGTAGCCATAACAAACACCTTCTCTCTCCGGCAGCGAGGGTGAAGGCGGGGCGTACAACTTCACGACGGTGGGCGTGGATGGTGTGGGCGTGACGAGTGCTACCCTCAGCGGCCTACGCCCACACGCCCGGTACGCCGTGGTGCTGCAGGCCTTCAACTCCAAGGGCGCTGGTCCAGCCTCCCCGCCCGCCCTCGCCACCACCCTGGAGGACAGTGAGTGGGCGTGCTTGAGGGACATGCTCGAGGGGGTGTGTTTGTGGGGCGTGCCTGTGTGGGGCGTGCCTGTGTGGGACGTGCCTGTGTGGGGCGTGCCTGTGTGGGACGTGCCTGTGTGGGACGTGCCTGTGTGGGGCGTGCCTGTGTGGGGCGTGCCTGTGTGGGACGTGCCTGTGTGGGACGTGCCTGTGTGGGACGTGCCTGTGTGGGGCGTGCCTGTGTGGGGCGTGCCTGTGGGTAATACTAAGTTCCAAAGATCTGAGCATCAGACTGTAACTCTGTTGTTATTGTAATTCTGTGTTATTGTCTCCTTTGCATTTCACCTTCTTGTTTTATTTCCTATCCATCACCTCGTCATCATCGTCTACCTCTTCTTCATCTCTTCTTCTTTTTCCTTTTCCACTACCAGAGCCGAGTGCCCCACCAGGTCATGTGACCTGTGAGAGTGTGACCTCCTCCAGCCTAGTAGTGACCTGGTCACCGCCGCCTCCCAGACACAGAAATGGAATCGTGGTCAATTATCGAGTCTACTACACCTACGCTTCCCCCCATGGTAAGTCCCCCTTCCCACGTGATGTTTCTCCCTCCCACGTGATGTTTCTCCCTCCCACGTGATGTTTCTCCCTCCCACGTGATGTTTCTCCCTCCCACGTGGTTTCTCCCTCCCACGTGATGTTTCTCCCTCCCACGTGATGTTTCTCCCTCCCACGTGGTTTCTCCCTCCCACATGATGTACCTCGTTTCCATGTGATGCTCCTACTTCCATGATTTCACTACCTCCCACGTGATGTTCTTCCCACGCGACGTTCCTCCCATGTTATATTCCTCCCACGTGGTTTTCCTCCCACGTGATATTTCTGCCTCCCACGTGATACATGTCCCATATGATGTTCCACCTTCCCCTGTGATATTTCTCCCTGGTGATGTTCCTCCCTCTCACGTAATCTTCCTCCCTCCCACGTGATGTTCCTCTCTCCCACGTGATGTTCCTCCCTCCCACGTGATGTTCCTCCCTCCCACGTGATGTTCCTCCCTCCCACGTAATGTTCGTCCCTCCCACGTAATGTTCGTCCCTCCCACGTGATGTTTCTCCCTCCCACGTGATGTTTCTCCCTCCCACGTAATGTTCCTCCCTCCCACGTGATGTTTCTCCCTCCCACGTGATGTTTCTCCCTCTCACGTAATGTTCCTCCCTCCCACGTAATGTTCCTCCCTCCCACGTGATGTTTCTCTCTCCACGTGATGTTCCTCCCTCCCACGTGATGTTCCTCCCCCACGTGATGTTCCTCCTCCCACGTAATGTTCCTCCCTCCCACGTGATGTTTCTCTCTCCCACGTGATGTTCCTCCCTCCCACGTGATGTTCCTCCCTCCCACGTGATGTTCCTCCCTCCCACGTGATGTTCCTCCCTCCCACGTGATGTTCCTCCCTCCCACGTGATGTTCCTCCCTCCCACGTGATGTTCCTCCCTCCCACGTGATGTTCCTCCCTCCCACGTGATGTTCCTCCCTCCCACGTAATGTTCCTCCCTCCCACGTGATGTTCCTCCCTCCCACGTAATGTTCCTCCTTCCCACGTAATGTTTCTCCCTCCCACGTGATGTTCCTCCCTCTCACGTGATGTTCCTCCCTCCCACGTGATGTTCCTCCCTCCCACGTAATGTTCCTCCCTCCCACGTGATGTTCCTCCCTCCCACGTAATGTTCCTCCCTCCCACGTAATGTTTCTTCCTCCCACGTGATGTTCCTCCCTCCCACGTAATATTCCTCCCTCCCACGTAATGTTCCTCCCTCCCACGTAATGTTCCTCCCTCCCACGTGATGTTCCTCCCTCCCACGTGATGTTCCTCCCTCCCACATAATGTTCCTCCCTCCCACGTAATGTTCCTCCCTCCCACGTAATGTTCCTCCCTCCCACGTAATGTTCCTCCCTCCCACGTAATGTTCCTCCCTCCCACGTAATGTTCCTCCCTCCCACGTAATGTTCCTCCCTCCCACGTAATGTTCCTCCCTCCCACGTAATGTTCCTCCCTCCCACGTAATGTTTCTCCCTCCCACGTGATGTTCCTCCCTCCCACGTGATGTTCCTCCCTCCCACGTAATGTTCCTTCCTCCCACGTAATGTTTCTGCCTCCCACGTGATGTTCCTCCCTCCCACGTAATGTTTCAGCCTCCCACGTAATGTTTCAGCCTCCCACGTAATGTTCCTGCCTCCCACGTAATGTTCCTCCCTCCCACGTAATGTTCCTCCCTCCCACGTGATGTTTCTCCCTCCCACGTGATGTTCCTCCCTCCCACGTAATGTTTCTGCCTCCCACGTGATGTTTCTCACTCCCACGTGATGTTTCTCCCTCCCACGTAATGTTCCTCCCTCCCACGTAATGTTCCTCCCTCCCACGTAATGTTTCAGCCTCCCACGTAATGTTTCAGCCTCCCACGTAATGTTTCAGCCTCCCACGTAATGTTTCAGCCTCCCACGTAATGTTTCAGCCTCCAACGTAATGTTTCAGCCTCCCACGTAATGTTTCAGCCTCCCACGTAATGTTTCAGCCTCCCACGTAATGTTTCAGCCTCCCACGTAATGTTCCTCCCTCCCACGTAATGTTCCTCCCTCCCACGTGATGTTTCTCCCTCCCACGTGATGTTCCTCCCTCCCACGTAATGTTTCTGCCTCCCACGTGATGTTTCTCCCTCCCACGTGATGTTTCTCCCTCCCACGTAATGTTTCTCCCTCCCACGTAATGTTCCTCCCTCCCACGTAATGTTTCAGCCTCCCACGTAATGTTTCAGCCTCCCACGTAATGTTTCTCCCTCCCACGTAATGTTCCTCCCTCCCACGTAATGTTCCTCCCTTCCACGTAATGTTCCTCCCTCCCACGTAATGTTTCTCCCTCCCACGTAATGTTCCTCCCTCCCACGTAATGTTCCTCCCTCCCACGTAATGTTCCTCCCTCCCACGTAATGTTTCTCCCTCCCACGTAATGTTCCTCCTCCCACGTAATGTTCCTCCCTCCCACGTAATGTTCCTCCCTCCCACGTAATGTTCCTCCCACGTAATGTTCCTCCCTTCCACGTAATGTTCCTCCCTCCCACGTAATGTTTCTCCCTCCCACGTAATGTTCCTCCCTTCCACGTAATGTTCCTCCCTTCCACGTAATGTTCCTCCCTCCCACGTAATGTTTCAGCCTCCACGTAATGTTTCTCCCTCCCACGTAATGTTCCTCCCCCACGTAATGTTTCTCCCTCCCACGTAATGTTCCTCCCTTCCACGTAATGTTCCTCCCTTCCACGTAATGTTCCTCCCTCCCACGTAATGTTTCAGCCTCCCACGTAATGTTTCTCCCTCCCACGTAATGTTCCTCCCTCCCACGTAATGTTCCTCCCTTCCACGTAATGTTCCTCCCTCCCACGTAATGTTTCTCCCTCCCACGTAATGTTCCTCCCTCCCACGTAATGTTCCTCCCTCCCACGTAATGTTCCTCCCTCCCACGTAATGTTTCTCCCTCCCACGTAATGTTCCTCCCTCCCACGTAATGTTCCTCCCTCCACGTAATGTTCCTCCCTCCCACGTAATGTTCCTCCCTCCCACGTAATGTTCCTCCCTCCCACGTAATGTTCCTCCCTCCCACGTAATGTTCCTCCCTCCCACGTAATGTTCCTCCCTCCCACGTAATGTTCCTCCCTCCCACGTAATGTTCCTCCCTTCCACGTAATGTTCCTCCCTCCCACGTAATGTTTCAGCCTCCCACGTAATGTTTCTCCCTCCCACGTAATGTTCCTCCCTCCCACGTAATGTTTCTCCCTCCCACGTAATGTTCCTCCCTTCCACGTAATGTTCCTCCCTTCCACGTAATGTTCCTCCCTCCCACGTAATGTTTCAGCCTCCCACGTAATGTTTCTCCCTCCCACGTAATGTTCCTCCCTCCCACGTAATGTTCCTCCTTCCACGTAATGTTCCTCCCTCCCACGTAATGTTTCTCCCTCCCACGTAATGTTCCTCCCTCCACGTAATGTTCCTCCCTCCCACGTAATGTTCCTCCCTCCCACGTAATGTTTCTCCCTCCCACGTAATGTTCCTCCCTCCCACGTAATGTTCCTCCCTCCCACGTAATGTTCCTCCCTCCCACGTAATGTTCCTCCCTCCCACGTAATGTTCCTCCCTTCCACGTAATGTTCCTCCCTCCCACGTAATGTTTCTCCCTCCCACGTAATGTTCCTCCCTTCCACGTAATGTTCCTCCCTCCCACGTAATGTTCCTCCCTCCCACGTAATGTTCCTCCCTCCCACGTAATGTTCCTCCCTCCCACGTAATGTTCTCCCTCCCACGTAATGTTCCTCCCTCCCACGTAATGTTCCTCCCTCCCACGTAATGTTTCTCCCTCCCACGTAATGTTCCTCCCTCCCACTAATGTTCCTCCCTCCCACGTAATGTTCCTCCCTCCCACGTAATGTTCCTCCCTCCCACGTAATGTTCCTCCCTTCCACGTAATGTTCCTCCCTCCCACGTAATGTTTCTCCCTCCCACGTAATGTTCCTCCCTTCCACGTAATGTTCCTCCCTCCCACGTAATGTTCCTCCCTCCCACGTAATGTTCCTCCCTCCCACGTAATGTTCCTCCCTCCCACGTAATGTTTCTCCCTCCCACGTAATGTTCCTCCCTCCCACGTAATGTTCCTCCCTCCCACGTAATGTTTCTCCCTCCCACGTAATGTTCCTCCCTCCCACGTAATGTTCCTCCCTCCCACGTAATGTTCCTCCCTCCCACGTAATGTTCCTCCCTCCCACGTAATGTTCCTCCCTTCCACGTAATGTTCCTCCCTCCCACGTAATGTTTCTCCCTCCCACGTAATGTTCCTCCCTTCCACGTAATGTTCCTCCCTCCCACGTAATGTTCCTCCCTCCCACGTAATGTTCCTCCCTCCCACGTAATGTTCCTCCCTTCCACGTAATGTTCCTCCCTCCCACGTAATGTTTCTCCCTCCACGTAATGTTCCTCCCTCCCACGTAATGTTCCTCCCTCCCACGTAATGTTCCTCCCTCCCACGTAATGTTTCAGCCTCCTCTATCTTCCTCTCATCTTCTACTGTATTTACCGTATCCTAAATAAGATGAAAAATACTTCTTTTTTTATCTTATCCCCGCGTTTCTTCCCTCCCTTCCTTTATTCTTCCTTCCATTCTTCATTCCATTCTTCCTTCACTCCATTCTTCCTTCCCTCCTTCACTCCATTCTTCCTTCTTTCCTTCACTCCATTCTTCCTTCCCTCCTTCACTCCATTCTTCCTTCCCTCCTTCACTCCATTCTTCCTTCCCTCCTTCACTCCATTCTTCCTTCCCTCCTTCACTCCATTCTTCCTTCCATCCTTCACTCCATTCTTCCTTCCCTCCTTCACTCCATTCTTTCTTCCCTCCTTCACTCCATTCTTCCTTCCCTCCTTCACTCCATTCTTCCTTCCCTCCTTCACTCCATTCTTCCTTCCCTCCTTCACTCCATTCTTCCTTCCCTCCTTCACTCCATTCTTCCTTCCCTCCTTCACTCCATTCTTCCTTCCCTCCTTCACTCCATTCTTCCTTCCCTCCTTCACTCCATTCTTCCTTCCTTCCCTTCTTTCCATTCTTCATTTCTTCCCTTCCTCTCTCCATTCTTCCTTCCCTTCGTCCCTTCATTCTACCTTCCTTCCCGTCTTCCCTCCATTCTTCTTTCCTTTCCTCCTTCCCTGTCTTCCTCTCTTCTATATCCACACTATTCACATAACAAGTATAAATTCGGCCATAAAGGGGTGTGTCACATACATCTACCATGTGTCACTTATGTATCACATCTATCATGTCACATCTGTCATGTGTCACATGTGTGTGTCACATGTCATCAAGGTCCCAGGACGGAACCGTTATCTAATAAACGTGACCTAGTGCTGGATCACGTGTCATTTTTTGTGTGTAAACCCATATGTGTCACTTGTGTCAGAGGGCAGTGGTCGCAGTGGCAGCGTGGTGTCAGAGGGCCAGAGGGCCACCTTGGCGGGTCTGTCACCCTGGACCAACTACAGTGTCACCGTCACCGCCTCCACCAGGGCCGGGGAGGGAGTGTCCTCCCACGCTATTCTTTGCACCACTGACCAGGATGGTATGTGTCTTCTTAGTTAATCAAGATGGTATGTATCCTGTTAGTTAATTAGAATGACATGTATCTTCTCAGTTTGTCAGGATGGTATGTACCTTATTAGTTGATCAGGATGGTATGTATCCTCTTAGTTGATCAGGATGGTATGTATCCTCTTAGTTGATCAGGATGGTATGTATCCTCTTAGTTGATCAGGATGGTATGTATCCTCTTAGTTGATCAGGATGGTATGTATCCTCTTAGTTGATCAGGATGGTATGTATCCTCTTAGTTGATCAGGATGGTATGTATCCTCTTAGTTGGTCAGGATGGTATGTATCCTCTTAGTTGATCAGGATGGTATGTATCCTCTTAGTTGATCAGGATGGTATGTATCCTCTTAGTTGATCAGGATGGTATGTATCTCTTAGTTGATCAGGATGGTATGTATCCTCTTAGTTGATCAGGATGGTATGTATCCTCTTAGTTGGTCAGGATGGTATGTATCCTCTTAGTTGATCAGGATGGTATGTATCCTCTTAGTTGATCAGGATGGTATGTATCCTCTTAGTTGATCAGGATGGTATGTATCCTCTTAGTTGATCAGGATGGTATGTATCCTCTTAGTTGATCAGGATGGTATGTATCCTCTTAGTTGATCAGGATGGTATGTATCCTCTTAGTTGATCAGGATGGTATGTATCCTCTTAGTTGATCAGGATGGTATGGATCCTTATATGATCCTACTTGGATTTTGTACATCCCTTCTTTCTGTCCAACCAGGAACGTGAAATATAATTATCGAAATATTAATATAATTGGTACAATAATAATAATAATAATAATAATAATAATAATAATACCATCACTTTGTCAGTAACTTGTGACTCTCACAGTTCCGGAAGCGCCCGCGCGCGTGAAGGCGGTGGTATCAGGACCGCGGGCAGCCGTGGTGTCGTGGGCGCCACCCGCACGCCCACATGGGCGCATCAACCGCTACACGGTGCGCTGGGAGCCCGCTGGTGGGCGGGGCGGACCCCACAGCCGGAGAGTGGACCCCCACCTGACCCACTTGACCCTACATGACCTGCCTCACACTACCCACCAGGTCAGTGCTACCACCATCTCACCCTGCATGACCTGCCTCTCACCACACACCAGGTCAGCGCCACCACCACCTGACCCTGCATGACCTGCTTCACAACACACACCAGGTCAGTGCCACCACCACCTGACCCTGCATGACCTGCTTCACAACACCCACCAGGTCACTGCTACCACCACCTCACCCTGCATGACCTGCCTCACACCACCCACCAGCTCAGTGCCACCATCAGCACCACCTGACCCTGCATGACCTGCCTCAAACCACCCACCAGGTCAGTGCCATCACCACCTGACCCTGCATGACCTGCCCCACACCACCCACCAGCTCAGTGCCACCATCAGCACCACCTGACCCTGCATGACCTGCCTCAAACCACCCACCAGGTCAGTGCCACCACCACCTGACCCTGCATGACCTGCCTCACACCACCCACCAGCTCAGTGCCACCATCAGCACCACCTCACCCTGCATGACCTGCCTCAAACCACTCACCAGGTCAGTGTCACCACCACCTGACCCTGCATGACCTGCCCCACACCACCCACCAGCTCAGTGCCACCATCAGCACTACCTCACCCTGCATGACTTGCCTCAAACCATCCACCAGCTCAGTGCCACCATCAGCACCACCTGACCCTGCATGACCTACCTCAAACCACCCACCAGGTCAGTGCCACCACCACCTGACCCTGCATGACCTACCCCACACCACCCACCAGCTCAGTGCCACCATCAGCACCATCTGACCCTGCATGACCTGCCTCAAACCACTCACCAGGTCAGTGTCACCACCACCTGACCCTTCATGACCTGCCCCACACCACCCACCAGCTCAGTGCCACCATCAGCACTACCTCACCCTGCATGACTTGCCTCAAACCATCCACCAGCTCAGTGCCACCATCAGCACCACCTGACCCTGCATGACCTACCTCAAACCACCCACCAGGTCAGTGCCACCACCACCTGACCCTGCATGACCTACCCCACACCACCCACCAGCTCAGTGCCACCATCAGCACCATCTGACCCTGCATGACCTGCCTCAAACCACCCACCAGGTCAGTGCTACCACCACCTCACCCTGCATGACCTGCCTCTCACCACTCACCAGGTCAGTGCCACCACCACCTGACCCTGCATGACCTGCTTCACAACACACACCAGGTCAGTGCCACCACCACCTGACCCTGCATGACCTGCTTCACAACACCCACCAGGTCACTGCTACCACCACCTCACCCTGCATGACCTGCCTCACACCACCCACCAGCTCAGTGCCACCATCAGCACCACCTGACCCTGCATGACCTACCTCAAACCACCCACCAGGTCAGTGCCACCACCACCTGACCCTGCATGACCTACCCCACACCACCCACCAGCTCAGTGCACCATCAGCACCATTGACCTGCATGACCTGCCTCAAACCACTTACCAGGTCAGTGTCACCACCACCTGACCCTTCATGACCTGCCCCACACCACCCACCAGCTCAGTGCCACCATCAGCACTACCTCACCCTGCATGACCTACCTCAAACCACCCACCAGGTCAGTGCCACCACCACCTGACCCTGCATGACCTACCCCACACCACCCACCAGCTCAGTGCCACCATCAGCACCATCTGACCCTGCATGACCTGCCTCAAACCACCCACCAGCTCAGTGCCACCATCAGCACCACCTGACCCTGCATGACCTGCCCCACACCACCCACCAGCTCAGTGCCACCATCAGCACCATCTAACCCTGCATGGCCTTCCTCAAACCACACACCAGCTCAGTGCCACCATCAGCACCACTTGACTTGCATGACCTGCCCCACACCACCCACCAGCTCAGTGCCACCATCAGCACCACCTCACCTTGCATGACCTGCCTCAAACCACCCACCAGGTAAGTGACACCACCACCTGACTCTGCATGACCTGCCCCACACCACCCACCAGCTCAGTGCCACCATCAGCACCACCTGACCCTGCATGACCTGCCCCACACCACGCACCAGCTCAGTGCCACCATCAGCACCATCTAACCTTGCATGACCTGCCTCAAACCACCCACCAGGTAAGTGCCACCACCACCTGACTCTGCATGACCTGCCCCACACCACCCACCAGCTCAGTGCCACCATCAGCACCACCTGACCCTGCATGACCTGCCTCAAACCACACACCAGCTCAGTGCCACCATCAGCACCACCTGACCCTGCATGACCTGCCTCAAACCACCCACCAGCTCAGTGCCACCATCAGCACCACTTGACTTGCATGACCTGCCTCAAACCACCCACCAGCTCAGTGCCACCATCAGCACCACCTGACCCTGCATGACCTGCCCCACACCACCCACCAGCTCAGTGCCACCATCAGCACCACCTGACCCTGCATGACCTGCCTCAAACCACACACCAGCTCAGTGCCACCATCAGCACCACCTGACCCTGCATGACCTGCCTCAAACCACCCACCATCTCAGTGCCACCATCAGCACCACTTGACTTGCATGACCTGCCTCAAACCACCCACCAGCTCAGTGCCACCATCAGCACCACCTGACCCTGCATGACCTGCCCCACACCACCCACCAGCTCAGTGCCACCATCAACACCACATCACCTTGCATGACCTGCCTCAAATCACCCACCAGGTCAGTGCCACCACCACCTGACCCTGCATGACCTGCCCCACACCACCCACCAGCTCAGTGCCACCATCAGCACCACCTGACCCTGCATGACCTGCCCCACACCACCCACCAGCTCAGTGCCACCATCAGCACCACCTCACCCTGCATGACCTGCCTCAAACCACCCACCAACTCAGTGCCACCATCAGCACCACCTCACCCTGCATGACCTGCCCCACACCACCCACCAGCTCTGTGCCACTATCAGCACCACCTGACCCTGCATGACCTGCCTCAAACCACCCACCAGGTCAGTGCCACCACCACCTGACCCTGCATGACCTGCCCCACACCACCCACCAACTCAGTGCCACCATCAGCACCACCTCACCCTGCATGACCTGCCCCACACCACCCACCAGCTCTGTGCCACTATCAGCACCACCTGACCCTGCATGACCTGCCTCAAACCACCCACCAGGTCAGTGTCACCACCACCTGACCCTGCATGACCTGCCCCACACCACCCACCAACTCAGTGCCACTATCAGCACCACCTCACCCTGCATGACCTGCCCCACACCACCCACCAGCTCTGTGCCACTATCAGCACCACCTGACCCTGCATGACCTGCCTCAAACCACACACCAGGTCAGTGCCACCACCACCTGACCCTGCATGACCTGCCCCACACCACCCACCAACTCAGTGCCACTATCAGCACCACCTCACCCTGCATGACCTGCCCCACACCACCCACCAGCTCAGTGCCACCATCAGCACCACCTGACCCTGCATGACCTGCCCCACACCACCCACCAGCTCAGTGCCACCATCAGCACCACCTCACCCTGCATGACCTGCCTCATATCACCCACCAGGTCAGCACCAACACCACCATCTGACCCTGCGTGACCCTGCGTGACCCTGCGTGACCCTGCGTGACCCTGCGTGACCCTGCGTGACCCTGCGTGACCCTGCGTGACCAGGAGAGTGTTTCTATATACTTTATCTTTGAAAACTGCCAACATTTACAAAATAAATTTGTGAAAGAGGCAACTTTAACTATTTTGCTGGACGTGTGTACTTAATTGTGATTGCAGAGGTCGAGTCACAGCTTCTGGCTTCGCGTCTTCACTAGTCGCTACTGCGTCCTCTCTCTCACTGCTCCACGAGCTTTATCAAACCTCGTCTAAAAGCTGTGTGTGGTTCCTACTTCCACTACGTCACTTTCCAGACTATTCCACTTCATGACAACTCTATGACTGAAGAAATGCTTCCTAACATCCCTTTGACTCAGATGAGTCCAGTTTCCAACTGTGGCCCCTTGTTTCTGTGTCCCATCTCTGGAACATCCTGTCTTTGTCCAACTTGTCAATTCCTCGCAGTATTATATATGTCGTTATCATGTCTCTACTAACCGTTCTGTCCTCCAGTGTCGTCAGGCCGATTTCCCTTAACATTTGTGGGACTAGACTTGTTGCAAACATTTGCACTTTCTCTAATTTCTTGACGTGCTTGACCAGATGTGGGTTCCAAATTGGTGCTGTATACTCCAATATGGGCCTAACGTACACGGTGTAGTCTTGAACGATTCCTTACTGAGGTATCGGACCGTTATTCCTAGGTTTTCCAGGCGCCCATATGCTGCAGCAGTTATCTGGTTGATGTGTGCCTCAGGAGATATGCTCGGTGTTATACTCACCCCAATATCCTTTTCCTTGAGTGAGGTTTGCAGTCTTTGGCCCCCTAGCCTGTACTGTTTGCGGTCTTCTTTGTCCTTCCTCGATCTTCATGACTTTGCATTTGGCGGGATTAAATTCGATGAGCCAGTTGCTGGACTAGGCTTGCAGCCTCTCCAGGTCCCTTTGTAGTCCTGTCTGATCCTCATCCGATTTAATTCTCCTCATTAACGTCACATCATCTGCAAACAGAGACACTTCTGAGTCTATTCCTTCCTTCATGTCATTCATATATACAAAAACAGCACTGGTCCATGGACTGACCCCTGTGGAACCCCGCTCGTCAAGTCATCTAAACCATTTGTCTCCATTCGCTAATATCTAACACGCTCACTCACGCTTGCTGAAAGTCCAAGCCCCTCGCGCACAAAACCTCCTTTATTTTCCTTATTCTTTGTTTTTTTTGTCCTGGCTGAAGATGTAAGTTCAACAAAGGAGGAAGGGAAATTATTTTTTTTTCAAAATTGATAAATAATTTGTATTCATATTATCGTTTACGTTTATGTTTAAGATTGTTGATTGTCGTGTATGTTACAGATGTGGGTGACCATTATTATGTGCGTTACAAGTGAGGATGACCATTGTTATGTACGTTACAAGTGAGGATGACCATTGTTATGTACGTTACAAGTGAGGATGACCATTGTTATGTACGTTACAAGTGAGGATGACCATTGTTATGTACGTTACAAGTGAGGATGACCATTGTTATGTACGTTACTAGTGTGGGTGATGATTTCGTACATTACATATGTGGGTGGCCATTTCTGTGTACGTTGCAGGTATGGGTGACAGCGTCCACAAGGATGGGCGAAGGACCGGCCAGCAGTATAGCCGTGGTCAAGCCTTCACACACAGGTACTGTCTTACACACATACACACACACACACACACATACACACACACACACACACACACACACACACACACACACACACACACACACCCACACCTGGTCAAGCACGTCAAGAAGTTAGAGAAAGTACAAAGGTTTGCAACAAGGCTAGTCCCAGAGCTCAAGGGAATGTCGTACGAGGAAAGGTTAAGGGAAATCGGACTGACGACACTGGAGGACAGAAGGGTCAGGGGAGACATGATAACGACATACAAGATACTGCGGGGAATAGACAAGGTGGACAGAGATAGGATGTTCCAGAGAGGGGACACAGGGACAAGGGGTCACAACTGGAAGCTGAAGACTCAGACGAGTCACAGGGACGTTAGGAAGTATTTCTTCAGTCATAGAGTTGTCAGCAAGTGGAATAGCCTAGCAAGTGAAGTAGTGGAGGCAGGAACCATACATAGTTTTAAGAAGAGGTATGACAAAGCTCAGGAAGCAGAGAGAGAGAGGATCCAGTAGCGATCAGTGAAGAGGCGGGGCCAGGAGCTGAGTCTCGACCCCTGCAACCACAATTAGGTGAGTACACACACACACACATCCTCATTCACAGCTCTCGAAACACACAATTACATTAATGGAAATTACGATGGTCATTATAAAATCATTACGTACATTAAGTGAATTACTTATCTTCTAATAATAAAGATCTTTGTTTAATTACATTACCTGCACACTCAGGTTGCTTGCTTAATTGGGTTTAAAGCCTACACGAGGGTCATTATGTCTACACCTAAAGTTCACTTTTATCTGGCAAGGATACTTTAGCGTCTAAGATATGAATTAAGAATACGTCTCAGCGTATATACACTGTACCTCTTAGTTTATCTGCATTGAGAGAGATATACAGCACTATGTATATACACACTGAGAGATATGCACCTCTCGGTGTATATATCCTTGTGTAGTAGTTCCTTTGTTATTTAATTTTCACTGATTTATTTTTTCCTATATCCTGAACGACTATGCTACCAAGGTTAATGTAAATTCATGAAGCATTTATATTAATGTGGATAATAGCAACGATTCACCTTATAAACCGCACAACTCATATCTTTTCCCCCAGTGCCTGCGGGCGTGTGGGCGGTGGGCGGGAACGTGACGGCGGCATGGAAGGAGGACGTGAGTCTTCCCTGTGGCTCTGTGGGTGTTCCTGAACCCACCCTCACCTGGAACCACGAGAGGAAGCTCATCCCCGCCAAGCACGACAGGTGAGCTGTGTGGCTGCTAGCGCGAAGACAGGCAAGCGCAGTGAGCAAGTCCTATGTGAAGGGAACGTTTCGCTACGATTGGCTTCTTTAATCATTGTGGAGAGAAGCCGCTTGAGACAATGCGTTTCTTTTTAATGCCTTGATCAATACATGTCTTTTTGTCTACAAGGTGTTAGCAGGTGGCCAGGCTTCAAACACCTTTATTGTACAGCAATAAAGGAATGGAACAGACTACCCGCACATGTCAAAGCCAGTCATAGCATGAACCAGTTCAAGAAGAGTGCCAAAAGGTGTCTGATGAATGTAGCTACAGAAAGGGAGGGGAATGATTTTCTATTTTTTAGCTAACATACGTGTAAATTTTACCTTATTCCTAGTAATGACCCTCGTATTGTAGATAGTCTTTTTAGTATAATAATAAGATGTTATCTTCATTGTAGAATAATAAGAAAATATGATAACGTTCATATTATAATAATAAGGTAAAATAACCCCAATGGAAATAAGTCACTCTGTCTTTTTTGTTTTCTCTACACATATGCTGCTATGTATGATATTCTATGTAGATGTATTTGTGTATACCTGAATAAACTTACTTACGTTAACATACTAGTTGCACTGTGGGTGCTAGTGTTGCATTGAGTGTGGCAGTGAAGATATATGAGTGCAATATATGGACACAGAGGGTATATATAGGCTCAGAGTGAGGTGTAATAGTAGTGAATAGTGATATAAGTTGTAGTAGTAGGAGTAATACAATTAATTTGCATATGAGTAAAAGGATATAAAAGCTATTACTTGGGAAGGAGAAAAATAAGTTAGATAAATATTTTTATAACATAGTATTAATGTCTAAGGCTACATTATTCATTCTAATATTATTTACTAACAGTTCAGTCTTACCTAAGTCATTCTTAAGGCCTAAATCTATTCATTCGTATATCTATCTTAAAGTTAGCTCACGTATCTTGAGATATTGTTGGGTGTAAGGGTGTGATGAGTCTCCCTGTGACTACGACCCTAAAATATTTACATACGAGCTCGGCAATGGTAATTTTTGGTACAAATAAATTTCCACAATGGTATACAGTACAGAAAAGATAAGCAAGACATGTGTGTAACACTAGTTTTGCTCATTGTGAGACAGAAAATGTACTGAGTACTGGGTCGAGGTTGTGAACCCAGGGTAGATTAAGTAAATTCAGAGCAGCACTTGTTTCATCGGTTTTATTAATGGAGAGAGCATATCTTATTGGCATACCCTATTTCAAACTTAAACATCTCTGAAATTAACCTACCGCTCAGTATTCTATTATTATTATTATATTGGTAAACATTTTCGTGTATTTAACATTTCCATTTAACTTCGCCTAACATGTCCGCTACATAACACCTCGTTTTAACTTACTCTGTATTAGGACCGATGAAGTCCCTGTGCTCGAGTGTCCTTTACCACAGTTTGTCAGCATCACCAGACCATTTATAATCACTAGTCAATAACACTTTAATCCATAAAATAAAGATTAAGATAAACTGGGTGTATCATGCGCCGAGTGATGTAAATTTCTGGGTGAATATATCCCAGTGATCGCTTTTATTACCTGAGAACGGTATCATCAACAAGAATGAAAGCAAAAACTTTATTGCAGGGATTTTAGCTAAATATGTTAATTATGCACCACATACCCATCCTGTGGGTGGTAGTCAAAAGATTACAGAGGTACATAATGGGTCCAGGGACTGGGCCCCAAAGTTTTGATAGCTGAACAAGGTACAAAGGTAATGAACCCACAAGTTACAAAGGTGATGAATCATGTAAGTAAATTTACTTGCTGGGATTTTCAACTTTTCCTCCATCATTAACACACTCAGTTTATCGCCATCATAAAGGGACAGAAAAACAAGAAGGTCAGGAAAAAATCAATTATTCAGGTTATGCACAAAAATAGCAATATACATTAGTATCACAAAAAAAAAACATTCTTTTCTAAAGAAATAATTATACAGTCCATTTTTATCACAAAAAATTAAAACCAAACAGGAACACCAGAAACATTATCAGTGGGAACACTGCTGCTTCACTGAGTCAGTTTATGTGAGGAGCTGTTGTTGACAATGTTACTCTCGTGTCATCGGGTTTCAATGGGTTCCTGGCCTTTGTTTTCATTACTACTAAACTTGAGAACCCTGAGTCACATAAGTATGTAAGTGACAAGAGGAACAAGCACTTGGAAGGTACGCTGAGAAGAAATAATTATGAATTAGTCATGTGACTATTATTCACACACATTCTTTGCATTTCTCTCTCTCTCTCTCTCTCTCTCTCTCTCTCTCTCTCTCTCTCTCTCTCTCTCTCTCTCTCTCTCTCTCTCAAACTCACACACAATTTTCAAAATGAAATTAAATTGAATTATTATTCAGTTATCAGGTACATCAAATATTTACCCCTTGCCATGTAATTTTTGACCCCCAAGGGTTAACTTTACCCCTTGCCATGTAATTTTTGACCCCCAAGGGTTAACTTTACCCCTGGTTGAGAATCAATGCTTATTGGAACAAAATTTCGTTGTAAAGTGAACTCTTGCGATATTGAAAAAACTCTCCCTAGACTTTGAGCGAAATGTTTTCCCAAAAGAAGCTTATTCCAGCTTTCATCTTCAGAAGACTTCAACAAATGTTCACTCGTGGTGTTGTGGTCGTAGTCTCTGAATTCTTTCCAGTCAGGATCAGTATCATAGTTGACACAGTAAGACATCGTCACATACTTGACAGTCAAATTCACGTTTGGATGTGTTTAATCTCACGTATCACACAGGTTCAAAGTTCAGCCCGACGGGACGCTGACGCTGGCTGACATTCAAAGGAGTGACAGTGGCCGCTACACCTGCACTGCCACCAATCACCACGGCAGTGACGCCGTCATGTATAACCTCACAGTACTGGGTCAGTGCCTACCTTTGTGTGAATATTTTGTCATTGACATTCTTAATAGACTAGGCTACAACATTTTGATAGGCAAATGTAACATTTTTGAAGGGATTCAGGAAAACCCATTAGTCGGACTTGAGTCCTGGAGGGCTGGGGATATTGCAGTTCAGATGGTCATCTGAAATGTGATGTCAGCACACTTCTGACAGTGGCAGTGACTGCATAATTAACGGTGAAAATGTCTCCTCTCTTTTTGTGGTCACCTCACCTCAATGGGAGATGGCCCATGTGTTGATTTTTTTTTTTCAGAGTACAAGGTTATATACCAGGTTAATTTTACTCCTTGCTTAGCTATTCTAGATAAACTATAATTCAGTATTGACCTTGTTACACTCATGGAAAGTGCTAAACCCATAAAGATCATAAAACTCCTGGGGAAATGGGAGGTAATTAGCGTGATGATACGACTTTATGGGAGGTTCATCTGGTGTACAGACTATGGTGCAAATTCATGTTGTCATGTGTTTAAGAAATCTGGTTGCTTCTGCAGTGCCTCCTTCCTCGCCCTCGCTACACGTCACGGAGACCACCTCCTCCTCCATCAGAGTCCAGTGGAGTCTTGAAGACACTGGGGGAGCCGCTCTACAGGGCGCCACCCTCCACTACAGGTAAGTCCTCTTACCTCCTACTCTCCCACCTGCCGCCCTCCAGGGAGCAAATAGTGGTAGTACAGCTCTTTATAATACTGTACAGTGATAGTACACCTCATTCTTACACTGTATACCTGGAGTATATCTGGAGACTCTTCCGGGAGTCAACCAGGCATCATGGTGGACCAGGGTTTGATCAACCAGGCTATTACTGTTGGCAGCACGTAAACCGACGTACTAACCACAGTCCGGCTGATCAGGTACTGACTTTAGGTGCCTGTCCAGTGCCTTTTTGAAAGACAGACAGGGGTCTATTGGTAATCCCCCTTATATATGCTGGGAGGCAGATGAACAGTCTTGAGCCCCTGACACTTACTGTGTTGTCTCTTATCGTGCTAGTGGCACCCCTGCTTTTCAATGGGGAGATGTTGTATCGCCTGCCGAGTCTTCTGTATTCGTAGAGAGTGATTTTCGTACTCAAATTTGGAGCTAATCCCTCTAGGATTTTCCAAGTGTATATAATCATGTATCCCTCCCGCCCTTAACCATTCCCAGAAATTGAGGTGTTTTATCCTACTTATGTGAAGGTTCTCTGTTAGGGAGCATTGAAAACATACAAATTTTAGAGATACAAGCCGCACTTTTCAGGCATTATTTGTATGGTCGCAACAAACTTTTGAAAGAAGACTCAGTTTTGAGTTCAGTCTTCCAGTCAATCATGGAATGATAGTTCTTTGCTTGCCACTTTAGTTTTTGAATCACTACTTTTCTTGAGTTTATAACAGGAGCCACATTGTCATTCTCTTCATCTTCACTGTCATCCTCATCATCAGTGTAGATTAACAAGTCCTCGTCAACAGCATCAGCAGAATCTTCTCCGTCCTCCTAAGAGCTCTCAGTACTTTCTTCTGTCTGCTGATTCTCTTCTCTAATTTTTCTTATCATTGAGACAACTTTGTCTCTCAGTCATGTCTTCATCAGAACACATATCAAGAAGCAGCTGATCTGTCTGAGCAAAGCTGGAATTTCTTTGGACAATCTCTTTATTATCTTTTCTTCACTGTTCAGATGTCTTATAAACTGCAGTGACTGGAAGACGTTCTTTGGACCGTGTATGACATAAGGGAACAACTTGAAGTGGAACCACATTGCAGCACTGAACTTTAAAATCATAATGATTTTTTTCAGCTCCTAACTGAGTCTTGATGCTGCTACATACAGCCTGAGAATCCTACTCCATAAAGTATTCCACCTTGACACACACAGAGGACCTGGTTCAAGAGCAGCCAAGTCCTCATCAACCACACCTGTGATCACTCCTTTGTAACCTATACAAGTATTAATGGTCCCAGGACAGATCCTCTGCCACCTTGCCATTCAGAGCGCAGAAATCAGTGAAATTGGCTGTCTGGAAAGCAACAACTAGCAGCTCAGACAGAGGATCCTTGATTTGCTTGCCAATGGAACCTCTCCAATGCTCGATTAGTATGCCTACAGTTCTTGGAAAATTATCTAGAAATTTGTTGTATATGTGTATGAAATTTTGAGTCTAATTATCAAGGTGGATCCAAGAATTTTCCCTCTGTTAGCTTGTGATAGGTGATCCCGTTTATCATTTGTTAAGAGGACATCTGTAGCTCTGTACCAAACGAATGAAGGTATTTTTGTCAAATGTTTAGTGTAAGTTTTGTTAGTCCTCATCCTGGTAGATATTTCGTAATTCGGTATTTACAGTATTGGCTAGCGTGACTGGGCTCGGGTGGGAGAAGACGTAAGTAGTTCATCTCGCAAATAGTGTGGGTTGGAGTTAATTGCGAAGCATTATGTTAGTTCCATTTATGTATAGGATAAAGAGAAGAGTGGCCAAGGAACACTTCCCTGTGGGACACCAACTGTAATTGGTTGTGCAGAAAGTTTTGCCCCATTTGCGTAACACTAATTGGGCTTCTGTTGCTGAGGTATGACTTAGGTAGTTGAAGGAGTGCCCTCTTATACCCTATGTGACAATTTACTGGAGCAAGTCATGTCAACTGTATCAAAAGCTTTACGTAAGTCAATGAAGAATCCCCAGGACTTCTTTTTTCTCTATTGTCAGTGTATATATGTTCTAGCATGTGTAACTAAGCATATTAGTATTTTTTAAATTAGGCCTGAACTGAATTCCAAATTGGCAGGGGTTGAGTATTTTTTGAGATATGGTAGGAGTAGATTTTTTCCCCTTTATGAATTAATATTTTCGAAGATTTTTGAGAGAGTGTGTAAGTTGATATGGCCTATAGTAGTCAACTCTGTTTGGTCTCCTCCTTTGGTGGATCGGGTGACCCCTTCTATTTTGAGTACTGTAGGGAAGCTGGAGGAATTCAATGGATTCTTGTTAAAAGATGTTGCAATAATGGTGATTAGCCCTATGTACACTTTTTTGTATAAAAAGGGTGTCAAGGTATTTTAAATCTCCTGCCTTGTTTTTTAGTGGTTGATAATAAGGAGACTTCGTAAAGGGTTAGTCAGCTAGAACAGTGTAGTTCGGGTCTATGCCGTGAGGTATCATTAGTGGGGTATCTGAGCTTGGGATTTTTATTGGCAAGTGTTTATGTCCCACAGTATTGGAGAAGAAATCATTGATCTGTTTGCTGTTTTCTGTTGCGTGGGAGTTCTGGGGGTTTCATCTGATTTTGCTAATTATATTTCGTATTTCGTGATAATCTTTTTGGTTCCCCACAATTTCTGATAGGTATCCAGGGTCTTTTTTATCTATCACCTCGTAAGTGGATAATCTGTTTCTCATAATACAATTTTTTTGCCCTTCTTATCAGGCTGGTTAGGATTGACACGAGTAACGATTTGTTGGTCTATGGTTATGTGACCCTTCTGTACTGTTTTTCATATTGGGTTTGTATTTATGGATTAGAGAATGATGTGTTAGCCAGGGACAGTTCAGGTCTCTTAAGCTGTCTCTGTTTAGTTTTTTTCTTAGGCAGTGCTTGTTACTAGATGTATTGGGTCTTTTTTAGAAAATTATTAATACATTCGTCAAATATCTGAACAGATTTTCAAGCGCTCAGTGTGCCAGTCAATGTTTGTACTGCTGATGTGAAGTTATTAATGGATGCCCTCATGTGAAGTTGAAGGTGACTTTAGTATGCTTGGGTAATTTTACCAAGAGTTTTGTTATGAGGAAATAGGTAGTTGGTCTGTGTAATATCTAGTAATTATGCCTGATTTTAAAGGGGATATGGTGCCTGTTCAAGTGGTCAGTAGGGAAACACTAGTCTCTGTCCTCTTGTAGGTTTTTTACTGTTGGTAGCAACATACAGTTACTCATTGGTTTGTGGAATTCAGTAATACGTGTGGGTCCTGGACTTGCAGGAGATTTAAATTGGGTAAAATCACCTTGAGAGTAGTAAGTGATCTTTGTTCATTAACTTGCATCAGTATCATACTTTCCTAGTTTTAACTAAATTGGGCTAATGTTTGACGTGGAACTCTGTAGATGTTTATCAATGTGAGAGTTTATTGTAGGTATTTAATTTGAATTTCTTGCTATTAAAATATTCCCCATGTTCATCCCTTTGCAAGTATTAGTGATATCAATCTAGTTTGGTCTGAGTAGTATATGGCTAAGTGCACCCCCTTTTGGTCTGGCCTACAGTTGTGTATGGCTGTTGAACCAGGGTATGGCATGACATCTGTACTATCAGGCTTTAGCCAGGTTTCCAGTTAGTGTAATGATGGACATAATTGGCTGTAAGGAAATTAGTAATGCTATGAGGTCATCGTAATGCTTTGCTTAAAGATCTGATACACTTGTAGTAAAGATAGTATGTTTATGTTTGGCAACTGAGACAATGCTTTGGAATCTTTTTTGTTTTATTTTGGTTGTCTGCAGTGTATAATCTACAGTACTTGTTCTTTGATTCATTAAGTCATGAATAAGAGTTGGTATCAAGATCAATGCTTGTAATCATAAGAGTTGGTAGTGTATCTTAGTTAAATTTATTATAAAAAAAAGTAAATAGTCCCCTAAGCTAAAAAATTACACCGAATTATTTAACAAATGTAAAAAATTATGAGCTAAGGTAGTTTTTTTTTTTTTTTTTTTTTTTTTGGTTTTTTCTTTTTTTTAAGCTAAATAAAGGGACAATTAAAAGGGACTAATACAAATATCATGGATATCAAATAATGAGCTTGGAATATGATAGTAGGTATACTATAAAGGGTAATTATTTAGTTAGAATTATAGTATAATATTATAATAGAAAGGGTCGCTTAATATAAGTTGTGGTGAACAATAAGTGGTAATCAAATAAATGAGCTTTGGAATATAAGGCAAAATTGTTGATACTTATTCTACGTTTAGCACCTGAGAATAGCAACCTTGATTATTTTAACAATTGTGAATATATACAACTAGGTAGTTAGATAAAGCTAAAATAAAGGAGAAAATATATAAGGTAGACTAAGGTTTACAAGTAATGGTAATAAAGTTAAATGGACAGATGATCACTCTTAAATAATCATTGGTTTAGGAGAAGATCTGATTTGTAATATTAAATAAATTTGAGCAGTTTATTGCACAATAAAAAGTAAAATGAGGTAGTTGGTACTAGCTCGCAAAAGCTAGTTTTGGTACTTGCAAAAAAGTAAATTGAATATAAGACTAATTGCATACACAATGAAAAGTGACTAAAAAACTATAGTATAAACATAATTAAATGGACAGTATGAATAAAGAATATTATTAGATTTGGAGTAATAATCTTGACTTGAATTTAAAATTATGAACAATTAATACATAAAAAAGAGTAAGAGTATTGGAGGTAGTTGGCATTTAGCTAGTGATGGAAAATATAAAAATAATAATGTACAATATAATAGTAACGTATCACTATATGCACCACACCGTATATATTGTATTAAGGCACTTATCTAATTGTTTATCAGAAATGTCAGCTTCTAAGAAGTAAGAATCGTGTTCTTGAGATGGATATTGATGTCCTGTGAGTTTTTCTTACCTAGAA